CATGTCCACCATATGTGTGCTCTCCTCCCCTGGGGACATTTTATTGACTGACCCTTCTCCATAGTGTAACTGCATGCATTTCTGTACATTCGATACTAACTCGCTGGGCAGTGGTGGTGCACACCTTTGATCCCAGCACTCAGGAGGCAGAGGCAGGTGGATCTCTGTGAGTTCAAGGCCAGGCTGGCCTACAAATCACAAATCGAATTCCAGAACAGCCAGAGTTGTTACACAGAGAAACCCTGTCTCAAAAAAACAAACAAAACAAACAAACAAACAAAACAAAACAAAACAAAACAAAAGTCTCTTACAAGAATTAAAGGTAGATGCTGAAAAATCTCATTCCTGTGTCCCTGAGGCTGCCTGGGAAGAGTCTGTCTGCAAAGACATAAGGAACATATGAGCTGTGTGGGTGTTAATGAAATTTCTCCTTCCCTCGATGGGCTAGAACTAACCCTGAAAGGTTAAAACTGTTTCCTAACTGCTGTGTAGATCTCCAGTTGTGCACAAATAATGTCTGTGGGCCTCTGCACCCACTCTGCAAATGTTTTCTCCCCACCGTCATCTCAGTGTATACAAATTAGTAATTTATCCAAACACCTGAGTGTGTAGGGTTAAGCATTAAGAATCTATGCTACGCAAATGCAAACTGTATAAGCTACATATGGTTGCTGGGCTTTCCATGCAGAAAATGTTGGGTCTCAAAGGGACCTTGCAAATATCCCTAGCCTAGTTCTTCCCCAGAAGAGGAGGACAAACACGAATCTCCCTGAGGTTGTGAGCCAGCCCTCCTGCTCTGACCTGGTGCCCTTACTCCTCCTCCAGCTGCAGGCAGTCTGCCTAGCAATACAGACTCACTCCACTTGGCCCGACCAATACAGGACTAGCTTTCCTTTGAGACCAAGCAGCGTCCATTTGCACTTCCCTTCTAGCTTCAAGGTAGAGCCTCACACTGCTAGCAACCACACTGCTCACACTACTAGTCCACCTGTCCTCCCAAGAATGAGAGTTGATTTCCTCTTGTGCTTTGGACACAAGCTCTTCCTTACTTTCTAGGGACATGATCCTGGTCAAGATAGCCACACTGTGTGCTTGTTAACTGTGAATAAAATGTCATTTTGAACCCTCAGTGTTAACAGCAGGATTACATCTACAGCACCCGTGCAAACCCAACTGTAAAGCCGATGTTATTACGAGACTGCAGACCGCCATAGTGAATACTGTGAAAAGCTCTAGAACTCAGTCTCAGCCTTGCAGGTCTCAATCTCCTGCACAACACACCTCAGGGCATTTGCAGGTGCTTGAGGTTAGACAGAGGCACGGATGTCACTGCAGCTAGGAACGGTCTAACAGGACCAAAGACGCCTTTTCCCAGGGCTCATGCTTCTTCTGAAACTCAGTACTAAGAGAGAAATGTGTGGAACACCTTAGGGAGCCAGAGCGGATGCTGAGGGGCTCCTGCTGCAACCGGAGCCCCGGTGACTAGGTGCACCCCTCAGCGGAGGGCCACAGCCTCCTTCTGGCTACTAGAGGATTCTGTACTTAGCAATGTTAGGCAAGAGTCCCACTGGCCTTGGTGCCTCATTTGCAGCCCAGGGCCAGATCCCCTGCCCTCACCTTGCCAACATGACAGGGCAGCAGCGTGAGCTAGCCCATGTGCTCTCGACTCCGGCTTTGCAGTGGACACCAGGCTGTAGACAGTGCTGGCTGGGCATCATGGTCTCTCCAGTCACTTCAGCCTGGCTCTGGCTCTGTCACCTATCCTGGACTCCTAGAGCTGCTTCATGGCCTATTCTCCACAGTGAAGGTCCCCGCTCCTGCACTGGCTTCAATCCCTGGCCCATTAGGTATCTGTGGAGTTAGACACAGTGAGGTAGTCATGGAAGACCACTGTCTTCAACCCTATGCTGCCCTTGGTAGCCATGGCAGTATTGCACTATGAGGGCATTTGGTAGGATGTATGGGCACGTTGGTTCCTATAAGATGTCTGAACCTGGTCAAAGTCAGCGGCATATAGGCACCATGATGTCCTCATGCCTTGTCTGAGCCCATTCATATAGAGATTACACAGGTATGTTGGCCCCCCATGCCATTTCAATACCTGGTCATGAAGGACTGGGTTGGCATGTTGAGGCTAATGCCATTTTTGTGCTCAGTCATATGTAGGATATGTGAGCATGTTGACCCCATGCCATTTCTAAGCCTTATCAAATAACAGGTATGTGGGCATGTTAGCACCCATGCCATTTCCAAACCCCAGCCCTATGGGTTATATGGAACATGTTGATTGACATGCCATTTCCAAGCTCAGTCATATGGGAGTATGTGTGGGCATATTGTGCCCAAAACGATTTCTGAGCCTGGTCACCCAAGGGGTATATGTGCAATTGAACTCTATGCTTTTCCAAGACCTTATATGTGGGTGTGTATGAGCATATAGCTTCATTCTGTTTCAATCATGGTAAAAATGCTGGGGTGTATGGGCATGGTGGAGTCAATGCAATTTCTGACCCATCCTATGATGGGGTTTCTGCTCATGTGGGCCTCCATCCCATGTCTGAGCCTGGCCATATGGGAGAAGGTTTTGGGATGTAGGCGCCTGTGCATTTTTGAGTGGGACTATATGGGCATATGCCATTTGTGACCCTGTCAGAAAGGAGAGTTACAGGCATTTTGGCCCCATGCCACTTTCTATCCTAATCATATTGGAGGTACATCTTGGCCCCCATGCCATTTCCAAACCTGGTTATATGTGGGGCTTTAAAAGCTTGCTGACCCCATGACATTTCTGAGACTGGATATATAGAGAGGTATTTGGGCATGTTGGCCTCCGTGTAATTTCTGAGCTTGACCATACATGTAGGGTCCAGCCCATTTATATGGGGAGGAGATATGAGCACGTTGGTCCCCATGCCATCCTAAGCCCAGTCATACAGGGAGGTATATGGGCATGCTGGTCCCCATGCCATCTCAGAGCCCAGCCTTATGGGTGTAGGCGTATACATATTGGCTCCCTAAGTATTCCCCATCCTGGCCATATGATAGTGTTTTTGTCCATGCTGGCCCACAAGTCATTTCATATGCATCCCTGTCACATGGAGATGTGTGCGGACATGTGGGCACCCATACCATTTCCAAGTGTGATGTAGGAAGGTCATCTGTCTATATGTTAATTTTATTGTTTAACAAAGAAACTGCCTTGGTCTTTTTATAGGCCAGCCCTTAGGTGGTTGGAGTAGATAGAACAAAATTCTGGGAGGAAGAAGGCAGTGAGGCAGATGCCATAGTTCTCCTCTCTGAGATGGACGCAGGTTAGGATCTTCCCGGTTAAGCCACCACCTCGTGGTGTTACACAGATTACTAAATATGGTTTAAAACAAGATGTGAGAATTAGCCAATAAGAGGCTGGAACTAATGGACCAGGCAGTGTTTAAAAGAATACAATTTGTGTGTTGTTATTTTGGGTGTAAAGCTAGCCATGCGGGAGTCAGGCGGGATGAAAAGCAGGCCTGCCCACAGCTCCTTCTACACAAGTGACATAATATGGTCATGTTGACCCTGTGGTATTTCTGAAGTGAAGAGGCATGGGCTGGCCACCGGTTGGTGGCTCCGAGACACTGCAAACATGCAAACAAGTACTCCCAGGCCACCAGTGGCAGTGCTGACACACAGCAAGTGTGTACCAGGTGTGTGCAGGGAGCCATGTGGCTGCCCTTGAGACATAGCACGTGTGACAAAGAGTGCCTAGGTCACTAGATGGCAGCACTGGGGTGTGTGAGAAGTCATGCCCTGGCTGCCAGGTAGCAGAGCAACACTGGCACATGTGAGTGTGTGAATGGGTGTTCCCAGGCCTGTAGGTGTGGCACTGGGGCACGGCAAATGTGCAAACGAGTCTTGGGACACCACAGGCATGTGAACAGGTGTGCCCAAGCCACCACATGGTGGTGCTGGAACACGGCATGCATTGCTAACAGCTGTGCCCAGGCTGCCAATTGGAGGCCCTGGTGCACAGTGGGTGTGTCAGCAGTGTGCCCAGGCTGTAACTTGTCAGTAATGGGACGCAGACAGGTATGCAAACAGGCAAAGTTCACACATTGTAGTCCCGGGACATGGTATCCTGTGAGCAGGTAAAGGTGGGGAGGTTCCACTGAGAGTTCCCAGTCCAGCTCATAAGCAACAGGACAGTCTCTTTCTCAGAACACTAACCTTGAGAAGCAGATTCTGTGTTGTGAGGAGGCCCTGGGTGCAGTAGGAGACCACACAGTCGTGGCTAAGGGCTCAGTCAACAGCCTCCATCAGATGCCAGACACGGGGAAGTGCTTAGATGGCTCTAAGCTGGGCTTCCCAGCCACTTACTAATGCCAGGAGCCACAGTCCTGCCCCACTGAAGCCTGGCTGAAGTTCAAAGTCCTGGTTAAATAAATTCTATTTTATGGCACTAAATTTTGCAGTACTTTGTTACATGATTGTATCAGCTACATGTTCACTGGAGTAACTGATATGTTGGGGGATATTATTTTCAGGTGTGTGACTTTGGTTTACTCTGCATTTGTTTAACTCTGTAAGCTGTGTTACTGTGCCTGTCTAACACACCCGACGGTCTGATAAAGAGCTGAGTGTCTGGACAGGAGCAAGGACAGGTGGGGCTGGCAGGCAGCGAGAATAAATAGAAGGAGAACCGAGAAGTGAGAGCAAGAGAACAAGGAGAGAGGACATCAGGGTCCAGCCACCCAGCTATACAGGAAGTCATGGAGAAAGAGGTAAAGAAAGGTATACAGAAATAGAAAAAGGTAAAAGCCCAGAGACAAAAGGTAGTTAAGACAAATTAAGTTAAGAAAAACTGGCAAGAAACAGGCCAAGCTAAGGTTGGGCATTCAAAACTAAGAAGATTAAGCCTCTGTGTGTGGTTTATCTGAGAGCTGGGTGGTGGGACCCTCAGAAAGACAAAAGAGTAAAACATCACACAACACAGATACCAGGCAGAAGCGTCTTAAGGGAAGAAGCTTTTATTTAGTGCAGTTTTAGGGGACACAGTCCATTCTGGGTGAGAGGGTACGGTGACAGGAGGGGGCTGGTCACACTGTGTACCCAGTCAGGAAGCAGAGTGGGGCAAACGCTGTTGCTCAGATCACTTTGAGAAGGCAAGGAAGGACCCAGTAGCTGGCTGGGTTCGTGATACACCTGCTGGCTGAGACTCACAACAAATCCTGTGAACTCCTCTGTCAGGTTCCAGGGTGGAGGGTCTGGGGTCCACCGCCCCTCTGTCCATGCCTCTGCCACTCCTGGGGAAGCTCACCTGGGGCTGGCACTGTTTCTCTCTGTGGGTTGTAGTCTCCACTACGGGCGTTTATGGATATGGATGCATCATTTATAACTTAAATTTCTTTGTACTAGAAACACCCAAGCAGTAGTTTCAAATATGAAATCCATTGTTCTCACACGAATCAAGCCAGGGTTTGGTCCTGGTTGTCACAATGACTCTGTGGTGACCAAGACTCCGGGCTTCTTCTGTGACTGTGCTACATTTCAATCACGGTCACTATTCCAGGGTACTTCAGGGTGCAATATGGCTGCTGGGGCTCTTGCCACCATGCCAGCATTGCCGACGTCTGAAAGAAAGAACAAGGCAAAGAGGAGCATACTCCATTCCCGAAGTCACATCCCAGAAGCTGTTGTACAGCCTATTGCTCTCGAACCATCTAGCCACCTCTAGCTGGAAGGCACAGAAAATCATGCTTAAAATCAGAGTCCTGAGAAGGAAGATCCAGCAGTCCTGTCCTCTTCATACCGCATAACCTGAGTGGAAGGTTCCAGACGTGATGTCTGGTGATTGGACCCCGCGTTCTCCTTCTTGGCCCTGCCTCCAGCTTCGGCCCTTGATGCAGCGTAGGGAGCAGGTGCACATGTCCCCTGGCATCTCAAGCAGGGACAGGATCATTTTGATGATCAGGGCCTGCCAGGCCATCCCAAAGAGGATCCACAGGGAGACGATGTTCTTGTACCACACGGGGTACTTCCGAGAGGGGTCCATCCCTGGGGAAGAGGCAAGGCTAGAGGAGGTGGGGGCTGGACGGACAGAAGCTGGGAGGCCTAAGTGATGAGTGCAATGCAGGAAGCCCCACAGACTTGACATTCCCAGCCTGTGGCTGCTCGTCTGGGATTCCAGAAAGCCGCTGGGATGAGCTGGCACCTTCTCTCTGGAGATGAATCTTTTCTAGAGTTTCTCAAAGTGTTCTTGGGTAGGCAGAATAAACAGTAAAAATGGCAATTTTACCAAAAGCAATCTACAGATTCAA